GCTTGAACGACCTCCCCCTCAACATGAACAGCTTGAACGACCTCCCCCTCAACATGAACAGCTTGAACGACCTCCCCCTCAACATGAACAGCTTGAACGACCTCCCCCTCAACATGGGCAGCATCAGCGACTTGCCTCTCAACATGGGCAGCATCAGCGACTTGCCTCTCAACATGAGCAACATCAACGACATGAGCTTGAACATGAACATGGGCAGCATGAACAACGCGGGCGAAATGAGCACTAGCGCCGTGAATATGGGCAACGGTGGAGATTGTAATAGCAGGACGCAGCATATGCTGTGCAAGTACCTGATGCTTGACAAAGAACAAAAGAACAACGCAGCGGCAAGGCCTGATTTCTCAGGCAACAACAGGGACCTAATGAGTGGCAATAACATGATGGACGTTGGAGTAGACTGTGAACAGCAGGCTAACATGGGCAACAAAATGATGAAGGAAAAGGAAAACCCCGACAGTAATGTTAGCTGGGAAAATTTCTCTCTATTCGGAAAGGCCAAAAGTTTGGGTGCAGAGAAGGACTATTTCAAAATTTTCAATTATGGAATGTGTAACAGTTATGACAAGAAGTTGTTTGAAAACTACGACGTGCACAAGAGCGAAATGGACAAAATCGATAAATCCTTGTTTATTCTTTAACTGACACAATAATTTTTTTTTCAAGAAAAATATGAACAAGTCTTTAAAAAAAAAAAAAAAAAATAGCCAAAAAGGGACAAAAATTAAAATAGCTAGCTGAACAGAAAAAAAAACACACGGTGTATATTTAGAGTATACACCCTTATGGGCGGATTTTCACCTCCACAGGTGTAATATACCCCCCACACCCCATACATATCCATCAAAAGCAACAAAATTAAATATAATTAAAACTAATTAAATTTTTAAACAAATTAAAACCAGGAATTCAAATTGAGATTCTACAATTTACAGGAGAATGCATTTATGTATGTACCCCCAATAAGCAAGGCGTTAGCAGAGGAGACCAGAGTGCTGTACATTACTGTATACGTCTCTACATTACCGTATAATGCTGTATATTTTAATTTACACATATATAAATATCTGTACTGCGAGAAATGCAGTGCAGGAATTTATACTTATTGGCATATATACGCATCCACATGAATACGTATAGTTCTCACGCGCATCGCGCACTTACGTATCGGCGTATTTATGCACAGGTATGTGTACACATCTGTAGCAGTATATTTTCGTATGGACCCATGCGCGAGTGTAGTGTTCCTTGCAGTTGTGCACTGGCATGCACGCGCGCACATGTTTCTATACGCTGCTATACATGTGTATATGTACATGCCAAAATATCCACACATTTGTGTGCGAGCAACAAGCGTGCCCGTGCGTGTGGTTTCCCTAGAATTGTACGATTCTCATTTTTGTAATTTTTTTTTTTTTTAAATATATACATAAAAGTACCGCGTACCATGTGCGTCGTGTACTGTATAGCATATATATATACTTGTACTCATATACACCTATATATATACATACTCGCATTATGTATACCTTTTTTAAGTTTTTTTTTTTAATAATTAATATTTGTTTTTATTTAATATAATATAGTATAATGTAACAATTCATGCTTTTTATTTTTTAAAAAAAAAGAAAAAATAAGAGATGAAATTGTAATATTAATGTATATTTATCTTTCTGAGGCTTTTCATTTTCAGATTGTTAATGTTTTTCAAACATTTTTTTTAATTAACTTAAAATTGAAAAAAAATATACACTTATGTATTATTAAAAACGAATTATTAAAATAAAAAGAAGTAAAAAGAGGGTCATCATATAGGTGACAATTGGAAAGTTTTTTTGCTACACCACAAGATGCGAGGACGCGCAGTTGGACAGATATGAAGTTGGATACAGAAAGGTTTGATGCTCGGGCATGTTCGTGGCAGAGCTCAATTCGAGACGCCGCACAGTTCACCGCGCAGCAGAGCTTCTTTTCACAAATTTGCAAATGGGTGAGGGAGAGTTGAAGTACGCGTCGGATGCATAAACGGGCATACATGCATGACCACGAATCTAAGCACACGTACAAAAGCGTATCACCAGGTGCATCTTTTCTGTGGGTCCCCATTGGTAAATGAGACTTCAGATCCGATGGTTTGTGGGTAACGGGTCATTGATATATGTATGTGTAATAGGGCGCACACGAAAAATATGCTATAAGGTATATAGAAAAATATTGAAATACGGTATATTTATCATGGCACAAGCCAGCTAGACAATGTCGTTGCCGAGAACCCTAGCAATAAGCTCCAGACAAAGTTTGCCCGTTTTTGTGGCATACTCCGAAATGGGCAAGGAATCACTGTGAACCTTTTTATCATTTTCGTCGAGCGATGGGTTATATTCTACCAAATCCATTGACACGACGCGCCTTGTGTCTGCCAGGACTTTCATTAATAAATTAATTTCTCTGTAATTTAGGCCCCCTTTAGCAATGGTTCCAGTTCCTGGAGCAAAAAAACTATCGACACTATCAATGTCGAGAGAAATGTGTAAGGGGCAATTTTCCTGAGGATCCAGTAGATTAAGAGCTGTAAGGATGGTATTGTATATTCCATGTTTTTCAATATCAAAGATTGTATAATAATTAATTTTACATTTTTTTAAGATAATTTTTTCATATATATCGATGTCCCTTATTCCAATGATGGCTACATTTTCTGGTTTTAAATATGTGAGATTTTCAGACCACTCGAAGGATGGCACTTTGTTTTTAAAGAGGCCTGTGGTGTGAGCTAATGTCATGCCATGATAATTGCCTGAGGGAGAGGTCTCCGGGATGTTAATATCTCCATGGGCATCTATCCATATGACTCTTAAATCTGGGTAAAATTGCAAAGAGCTCAGGATGCTAGGAAATGCTACGCTGTGGTCACCTCCAATGTTTAATACGAAATTTTTCTTCTTCAATTCATTACTCATTGTGCGAAATAATTTTTCACTAAATTTTCCAACAATTTCAACATTTTTTATATTAGTATAGTAATTATTTTGTACGCACTTTTTGGTTATGCATCCTTCCCCTATGTGATTATTAATGTCGCTATGATTTTCCAAATTGGCATTACTTTTTCCATTGCAGCAGTGGTTTAATTTTATGTCTCCGTTCATTTTTGCCATTCCGTTAAGGTAATTTTCTGTGTGTCCAGAGCTACCGTTGTGTGTGTTTTCCGTTCCGTTTAGTTGGGCCTGTTCATCGGTCCTCCTCCCGTCGGTATCTTTGCCTACAGTACTTCCAGCGCTGCTAATATTTGCGCCAGTACAAACATTTCCAACGTCTTCGTAGCTCCAACCCAAGGACTGTATCACTTGATGCAAACCGAGCATCCTCAAATTGTCACAAGCCAAGTTGACTCCTCCCAAGGGTTGTCCAGCTGACAGGGGGGATCCAATGATGGACACTTTTTTTTTCACATACATGTTTTCCTTCTCCTTATAATTTTTTATGTAATTCTCGATACATTCAATCATTTTGCTGGGGGATACTTATAGAAGAATAAGGGGTTCTTGAAAAGTTCCAACGTGGTGGAAGGTGAGGTCACAGAAAGGCTTCTTTAGTTGAGCCGCTGCGACAACGTGCGCAGTATTTAAAGCACCGGGTTTTTAAGCAACACATGTGGCCTCTCTTTTGCCAAGGGTGAAAGGGGCGCCACGTTAACAAATGGATGAATTTACAGGTAATCTGTGGAATAATCAGACAGCAAATGGGTCGTCGAATGGGCAGGCAAATTGGCAGAACAAAATAAAGAAACATAAAAATTCACACTCAAAAAAAAGGGGGACTGTAATTGTATAAGTAAAAATTCACAGGGTACCAACCAGTGGGTGTATAATATACTTTATATTTTTAATTAGTTATTATAGCTAACTCAATAGCTAAGCGTTAATGTTTTTTTTTTCTTCTTCCTCTTTTACCTCAAAATATTTTGTACTTTTAAAAACATACTTTTATGATGGTAACCAAGGAGAATAACATTGTTTTATTTTCCGTATGTTCAACAACAACAACAAAAAAAAAAAAATTGTATGCACTTTAATTAACTACTTAATCGCAGCTGATTGTTGGGAAAGAAATTTAAATTGTTTTTTTTTTTTTTTTTTTTTTTTTTTTTTTTTTTTTTTTTTT